GTTTTGGTAGGACTTTAATTCATGCTTTCATCTGTTTTATTTGTTTCTAGGTGCCAATGCGAGAAGGCAAGAGGTGGACAGGCGTGGAGCTGAGAGGGACAACAAGAGGAGGAAAAAGAAGCAGAGAAATCGCAAACCCTGGGAGCTCGATAGCGAGGGAGAGGAAACATCAGATGGTTCGTCGAGTGAAAAGGTAACGTTTTTACTCCTGAGAAAATGTTTAGATTTGCTATATTACTACATTAATGTGGTTACTAGCATTACGGATTTTCTTTAAACAATCTATTCTTCAAAAATAGGCCTTAGTTCTAGGACATGCGAGTGACTGTTTCTATATTAGAAATGCACTAGAGGGCAGCATTTCACCCCTGTCTTTCAGCCTCCTAATATGCTTTTTTTTCTCTAGGAAAATGATGAAGACGACAGTGAAAAGGAGTCTGATGGTAAATCCCAACTGAAACACCTATACTTTCATGAATCTCTTAATTACTGTGTTTTAGCAGCTTTTTGTCTTGGATAGGAATACTCCTATGACTGTTCAATTAAACTGCTCTTTGAGTATATTTTACTTATATGTCATCATGCACAACTTTGTTTGTCTGGATCATGGCATGTTTAAACTTTTATTATGCATTTTAAAAAGTTGGGATTTTTTAGTTCAAAGGTGCTACGCTGTAGTATTTTAAATCTTTATATTTGCTTTTAAAAAAATATATATGGGCAGTCTTCTATGTATTCAAAACATGTAAGAGTGTTGCAATACTTTTTTTCTGTGGATCAGAACATGGTTTGGTAAATCAATAAATGCCAAATATCATACTTTTAGATGATGCTCTCAGTGCTGACAGTGATGATGAGAGTCTGTCTTCATCCTCGGAGGGGTCTTCCTCGGAGGGGTCTTCATCCTCATCCTCAGAAGAGGATGAGGAAGAAGAGGAAGGAGAAAGAGTTGACAGTGGGCCAGACACCATGGATGAGTCAACCATGGACAGCACAATGGAGAAGCATGACAGCCGGTACAAAGATCAGCAGTATTTGCCACATCTTTACTCACTTTTAGAGCTAATGTGAATGTTGTTCTGGCAAGCTTATCCAGGAATTAATACTGGCTATGATTTATTGTTTGGACAGGAACAATATTTCAGCAGCTGTTCCAAAGGCAAACATTCAAGCAGGTAAGTGTAAATGTGCAAAAAGGATGCCAGAAAACCAAATTCCTTGCACTCAAACTCATAAAGTAATGGTGGGCCTGTTGTTGTTGGCTCCAAACTTATTGGTTACCTTATTTCCTTTAGGTGAAGCAAAGGAAATTAAGGCACATACAACAACAGAACCTTCGAAGCAGCCACCATCTGCACTACATCTACGGCCTTCCTCCCCTGTTGTTCTCGTGCCCCCACTCAAAAAACGCAGGAAAACAGTTTCCTTCTCTACAGATGAGAATGACAGCAAACTGCAAATGTCATCTGCAGTGCTGCCCACATCTCCTTCACCAGTGGCTAATGAGTCTCCACTCCAGTCTCCCCAGGAGTCACCCATCACTGCTGTCTCGACCTCCTCCACTCGTCCGAGCCAAGGTATTCAGCTTCTTCCCTTTGCCTCAAAACCAGGGGAAGGCAATGCCCTCATTGTTCCTCCACCTGGAAGAACTCAAGATTCTGATGAATCCAAAAAGGGACTTCCTATTTCTCCTCAAACCACTCCTGTCAGATCACCTGGCAAAAAAGGTGCGAGTAAAGACTCTCCAAAATCTCCTGTGTCTCCAGTCATGGTGTGTCGCACTGTGCAGAATCTGCCGTTGGACCACTCTTCTATGTGCAGGATGGTCTTTGAGGAGGTCCCCCCTCAGCCTCTGGGTAATAAACGGTCCAGAGGCAGACCTCGGACGACAAGTTTGTCAGCTTCGTCCTGTCATTCGCTCAGAGAGGAAGATGAAGAGGAGGGAAGTGAACAGAGGCTAAGACTCAGGGAGCAGCTTGGAGCATCCAGCCTTCTGCAGCTGGCTTCAGCCTCCACCACTGATCTGTCAGTGTTAGCTGACGTAGCCTCCAAAATTGACCATGATGCTGGAGACTCAGAGGAGACAGAGACATCTGACGAGGCAGAGGAGCAGAAGATGGAAGACCATCTCTTCACCCCAGAGTCTCTGGCCCTCATTATGAACCCCGAGGGTGTTGTTATCATAATGGAGCACAACTACTGCAAACCCCCTGTTCTCCCAGCAGCCATCACCAAAAGAACTTCCACCAAACAAGACTTGTCTCTCCTGGTCCCATCAGACCTCAACACCATTTCTGGAGTTCTTGAGGCACCAGAGGAGGTTGTTGGAGAGGCATTACCATCCAGGGGGGATCCAGCAGAGCATTTCTCTGGAATGGGGGCACACTGTGAGTCAGAAGATGCGGCCCAGGCTGCTCCATCTCCATCAAAGAAGAAAGGCATAATTGGCAAAGGTTTAGAACTTGAAAAGGATGAAAAGAAAAAAAAGAAAAGAAAAGATAAAGAAAACGTTGAGGTTCATCGCACAAAGAAACAAGACGAGGCAGGAAAGAAAAAGAAGAAGCGGAAGCAGGAGGTACGTGTGACATTTGGGTTTTTCTTCTTCTTCTTTCTTTTTTTTTGGTTTTTTGAAACATTGGTGTGCTAATCCTAATCAGTGGGCAGAAATGTTTTACAACAATGTTTGGCAGGTAGTGATGTAGGAACTAGGTGATAAAATGCTTCTTTAAGTTCCTATTTTTTTCATGAAGTCCTTTTTGAGTCACTTCCTGTGTCTAGTGGGAAAATACAAATGTTTCTACTTGTTGTTGCTTTTTTTTCCCACCATCTAGAAGTTTTTCATCTTTTCTCTCACTTCTTGTCAAGTACCTTTGTTTTTTGGGTCATGTTTCATTCTCAGGCTTTTCAGATTGAAGACTGCACAATTTGCTTTGACAAGCCAATGTTCACATGGTAACCTATGTCAGACATCCATGTCAACTGATGTTAGAGTCACACAAAGCATAAAGGTTTCATCTCTGTATATTTGCAGCCGGATGTGCCCTAGAACAAAAATGGCGCCCACTGAGTTCCATGTGCTTTGGGTTAGTGCAGTTGCATCCAACTGCGCCTAATGTTAGTTTCAGCTCTATTTATTTTACGAAACAGGCCTGGCAACACAAACACTCTCTGTACTTATGAGAGAGCTGAAACCCCAGGGCCATTTCTTTTTAATTTTCCAAGGGTGCTTATATACTTGGTCAGGACTTGGGGCAGGTACATCAGTGAATACGTACTAATGACCTAAATTAATCAGTATCAACATTGATTAATGTTTGAATGGTCTGGTACCACAACACTGTATAAAATAATGTGCAACCAACAGAAAATGTTCCTTCCCTCGTTGCACGGCACATTACACATTTGATGTGACGCACCATAATTGTTTCCTTTTTTACAGGACTCAGACCTGGAGGAAGATGTAGATGTAGAGGAGCTTGAGTCTGGAGAGCTCTCCAGCTCGGAGCCAGACGATGAGGGAGTTGAGGAAGTCAGAAAGAGTGAGCGGCTCTTCCTCCAGGAGGCTGGACTATCCTCGTCTCAACGCTGGCCCAAACCTCTTCCAGCACCCGAGCCACCGGCCCAGAAGTATGATGTGCGTAGTGAGTTTGAGCAGATGACCATCCTGTACGACATCTGGAACTCAGGTCTGGATGGTGAGGACTTGACGTTGCTGAAGAAGACCTATGAGAAGCTATTACAGGATGACCATGGCTCTGATTGGCTCAATGATACTCACTGGGTCAACCACTCAGATATCCTTATCGGCGATAATCCTGTACTGTCAAAACCATTGTGTTGGAATGATTTGCAGTGTAATATATTACATGTAATTATCTATTTTCATATTAACCTTGACCTTTGAGTTGCACTAACCAATTTGCCCAACCCACGGCATAAGAAGAAAAATGCAGACGGTCAACTACGAGAGCATGTGACCGGCTGCGCCAGGAGTGAGGGCTACTACGCCATCAGCCGCAAGGAGAAGGACAAGTATCTGGACCTGGATCTGCCTGAGCAGGTTATACGGGAGGTGGAGAACGTTGATTCTTCTGTGAGTATTTTTCTGGAGTCATGAGTTTAATTTTGGCAACTTTCTTTTCCTTTAAGAATATCTTTGTTAAAGTATTTGAAAGTACATTTCAAAGATGTTTTAGGATAAGGTTAAAAATTAGATGGTCAGTAAAACCCTTTTCCTGGGGAAGTTTCAAGTTAATTATAAGGTTTGTTTTAAGTTTGGCTAAAGGTTTTGTAATTTAATTATTTAATTATAATATATATATGTAGATAAGTTAAATACTCCTTACAGAATTCTTTTTTTTTTTTTTTTTGGAAAATTCTATAAAGATTTTTGTACCACAACAGGGATTTAACATCAACTTTCAGTCTAAGATTTTAATTGTTGCTCATTGAGATGAGAGTATTAATCCTGATAAGACCAGAGTAACCTGAGTGCTTTTGACACGTTAACACCTGTTATTTGTACGTTTAACTTATTCCATAGTGTTTAGAAAAAAAGTTGAAGATTTGAATTAATACAGGAACGTTGTTTGTATACTGACATTGGTTTTTGGCTTTTCCATGCAAAGGCAGGGACACATCAATTCCCAGCACAACAATTTTGAAATAGCTGTTCTGAATGGCTGAGCTGCCTCTCAACAAACTTTACGGCCTCAAGTTGTTGCTGTTTGTGGCTCTCAACAAATACCACTTAGGAAAGAATTGGTCTGTTGTGATTTGGCTCGGAGAAGGGGTGGTTCTTTGGGTAGGAGAAATAAAGGATTCACAAGTTCCCTAAATGGAACTTGTTGGAAATATGGAACAATTTAGTGTTTTTCCAGGATACTGAGGCACAAGTACTTTGCCATGTTTTTTTAAAGTATTGTTTTGGGTTTTTTTTTTTCATTAAACCCACCACTGTGAGCAATAGCTGAACCTCATTGTTTCCAGTGTAACAACATCTGCAGTTGAGTGTTATATATATTTTTGGTTTTCCTAACCAGTCTTGTGAAAGTTGTATCATAGCAAAGCAGGAGGCGGTGCAGTTGTTTGGGGTCAAGCAGTAATGTTGGTAGGAAACGAATACAAGAACATTCTGTCTGTCAGATACCCTGTTGTTGTACATTTCTCCATTTGTCGATATAGCCTGGCTGTTCCATAACATAATATTGTGTTTTTAACAACAGGGTGATAGAAACAGTGATGGAATTGAAAAAAAAAGTTTTTACATAAAGGAGAAGTGATGACTTTTCAATTCATGTGGTTTCTTTAAATATATTTCGCTACAGTGAACTGTATTTTAGGAACAGAAGTGACACGCCTGATCATAACATTTACGATTTATAATCACATCTGTATTCTCCTGACAAATTCAACATTGGTTTTTGAAAGGCAAGCGTAGCCTAACGTTAGTCTTGCTCCAGTTTTCTGCATTCTAAAACAAAGCACTGTGTTTTTTATAATTATGGTATAAAAACAAACCAAATAAATAAATAAATAATAGTAGGGTTATTTTATGAGACACATGCCTGACAGATGTGTTGTGGTTTTGAAAAATAAAAGAACTCCTGGGTTTTAGTAGTAGTTCCTGTAAAGAGGAAGTATACAAAGATGTGCTTTTTTTAAATGTGACGTCACATCTGTAGCAGTGACCCCGGTTACAAACACATTTATTAGAACAGATCCTGACACACATCCAATTTGGAGCAAATAATTAGACTTATGGTTTGAATAACAATCACGTGCAACCATTTCGATTTGGTATTTTGGTCATTACAAATATTGTGTTAAGGCTCTGCACAAAACATTGTGTTGTGGAGCTTTTTGAATATAATAAGTGGTTCGAGTAATTATAACTTATTGGTTATTATTTAAAACTCAGATTTCAGCCAACTCAAATATTATGGTCCACTGCTTACTATAATTAGACAGTAGATGTTTTTTGTGACTTGACCCTTATTTTTTCTATTTTTGTTTTTTTTGTTTTTTGATCCAACAGTTGACAGGTATTAAAAAGTAAGGTGATGCTGGGGTTTTTTGGAAATAAAATTAGGACTCTTGTGTTTTGTTGCTGTGCAGAGGCTGAATCTGCTGTGAGTGCAGTTTCCATTCTGGCTTTGTGCTGCGTCAGTATCACCCAGTGATTCCTCTGTATAACTTTATACACACGCAGCTGTTTGTCACAACCTGCTGCTTGTTGTGGTGATGAGGCCTCAGTGTTTGAGAGATACACAATTTCTGACCTGTACTTTCTCTAAATCAATAACAATGCAGCACTATATTGTTCACTTACCATAGTGAATGGTGTGTGACTGGTTGAAATAGAGGAAAAAATAGCTCCAGATTTTCACTTTGTGGGTCTGAAAGCTCACAAAGGCAGAGAATTGCCAAAAAAAGGGTGTTACGCTGTCTTTTTGTGTTTCCTGCAGTGGCCCTCCATCTGCCTGAGGACAGGGTGGTGAAAAGTGTGTTTGACTTTGGAGGAGTTTTTGGTGTTGCTTGCACACATTTTTTTTAATTCTCTATACCTATTTTAACACAAAACTGTATAACAAATGGATCAGTCTTATCAAAGCACTGGCATGTTGTATAATGTTATGGGTGATTTAAGTCCGTAGGAGTGCTATCTAATGTAATGTGTTGTTTTGGAAAACCTGCTAAAAATGATAAAAAAATTTGACTTTTTTTTCTTGTTCTAAAATTCAAATTAAACTGGGTTAGCCCAGGAATACATTTGAATAAGGATGGCAGAATATATAAACAAAAAATGCTAATATCAATAAAAAAAAAAGAGAGCTACAAATAGTTTTCTAAACTAAAAATTTCCCCTGAAAGTTTACTTCCTTCAAAGTGATAATTGCCACAGATAAAGTTGAAAGTTATTCCAAAATGTCAAAAACGTTGTATTGTTTTCCGTTTATTGCTCCATGTTTAATGGGTGTCTATAATGATTTCCTCTCCTTTCATTTTAATTTCTCAGCACTTGGTTTACAGGACGTTTCCTTCTATTTTCCATTTCCTTCCTTCACACTGTTATCTCTCTTTGTCAGTCCTTGGTTTCTGAACAGCTTCTCTCAGATAGAACTTGGTGTTCATATTTGCTGGCTCCTCTGAGGTTCAAGGCCATATGATATCCTGGATGGTGTGGCACTGACTGCTTTGTAAAGCTCTCTGGTGTTTGTGTGTGTATTGACAGGGAGTGAACAGGGTTCTGTCAGAGAGACGCTCAGAGCAGCGCCGACTCCTCACAGTCATCGGCACCACAGCCGTCATGGACTCTGACCTGCTGAAACTCAACCAGCTTAAGGTACAACAGAGTGACCTCATGTCGTCACACACACACAAGAACATGTTTTTGTAAAATAACATTGTCATCACTCTTCACCTACAGTACATGATGGAAAATGTTGACAGGCAAAATCCAAATTCAGGAATTAAAGACAGAATTAAAGAAGATAAAACACCCATTTTGTTTACATTTATTTTTTACTAAAATTTGGACATTCAGAATTGTATTCTGTTTAACACTTTGAAACAAAAGATAAACAGTATTTGTTGGATCACTTTCTCTGCTGGATGTTTTTCTCCCAGCTAAGAAGAAAAGCAAAGTTCACATTCTCAACACCACCTCCGTTGTCCCTCCTAGAAAACAATAGTCAGGCGGCTGTTAGTTATCAGGTCATAGTTAACTCTTTGGTGGAGGCTGACTTGGCCGCAACTGTGATAAATACTGGCTAAAGCTTGTTTACTCACATACACAAAAGATGCGAGAAACTTATTTCTCAATCTGATTCATTTGAGTGTTTCTTCAGTGGTCGAGTATTCAAACAGCAAAGGTTTGACTTTTATGAGGCCAGGCTCATTCATTTAACTGCAAACATCTGTTATTTTTGTAAAGCAACTGATAAACCGCAACTGATAAAGCGACACTTGTTTATCACTTGGGATTTTATCAAGTCCCAAGCGAAACTACTGCACTTTCCTGGAAGTGAACAACAACTTTAATGGTGGTCTGTGGTGGCTTTTATCTAAAGCTTTTTTTAATCTTGCAATCTTCCAGTTCCGCAAGAAGAAACTTCGCTTTGGACGCAGTAGGATTCACGAGTGGGGCCTTTTCGCCATGGAGGCTATTGCTGCTGATGAAATGGTCATTGAATATGTGGGTCAGAACATCAGACAGGTATGATTTAAAAAAAACAAACATTCTTTTTCATTTGTAAAACTTTTTTTACAAATGTAAAACATTTTTACTAAATGTGATCTCAACTGTGGCTAATACTAATGCACATTTGAAGCCCAACCTCTAAAAAACGTTTTCTGTAGAGAGTATTTTCACATATACAGCCTCGGTTTTATTTGATAAGAAACTGAGAAACCATTTAATTTCAGTCAAATGTGAAAATGTGTTTGTAGTGTTTTTATTTACAGTTAAAAATTAGGTAATTTGGTTACTTAATCGATTCCATTGTAGTCCCACTGAGACTTAAGTGGGATGCTGATGATGGAATTCTTAAGTAAATGTCACTCCTCAGTTTGCTAATTTCTCATGGGAGTTTCACAATATCCAGTATTTTTTTTCCAGTATTGATCACACTTATTTACTCAGATAGTGATTTGTTTCTTTGTAAAGTTGTTAAACAATTTCCTTCCGAGGCTGTTATTCAACTGTGGGTAAAGTACAACAGGTCAGTGCTGTGTTGCTGTTGCCACCATGTGATCAATGAGGGAATAATCACGTGTCATCTGTCCAGATGGTTGCTGACAATAGAGAGAAACGTTACGCACAGCAGGGCATCGGGAGCAGCTACTTGTTCAGAGTGGACCACGACACCATTATCGACGCTACAAAGTGTGGAAACCTGGCCCGATTCATCAACCACTGCTGCACCGTGAGTTTCAAAGTCCTCACAGCGCTGGTTACCGGTCAAAGGTGTTACGACACACTGATGGCATTTAGCAAGAGCTGCCACTTATCTGTTTGTCCTTGCTTTTATCTTTCAGCCGAACTGCTACGCCAAGGTCATCACCATAGAGTCTCAGAAAAAGATTGTGATCTATTCCAAGCAGCCTATCGCGGTCAACGAAGAAATCACCTACGACTATAAATTTCCCCTAGAGGAGAACAAGATCCCATGTCTGTGTGGAACAGAGAACTGCCGCGGCACACTGAACTAATGGAGGCCTTTGACACAGTGACCATCAACATGATACACCGTCCGAAAAGCCGTGACCCCTCCACAATACCCAGGAAACAGACGCTCACATTTGCACTTTTCAAACACACACACACACACACACACACACACACACACAGTTCACCCCTTTGGCCCCTTCACAAGGAGAGAGTTGTGTAACTTGGCATTTGAGTGACTAGGAGGGGGCCCCTGCTGCAGCATTAGGTCATGTGTGGTGGTATTGTTGGACTTGATTGAATAATGACTTCCACCCATGTTGGGCTTGACTGGTATTTATCTTTTCAAGCCAGTCCCAGGGAAGCAGAGTAGCAGGATTTAAGATAAGAAATGAGGAGAGAAATAAAATCAGTATTTTGTGACATCATCTGCTCACGTTACCTACAGCCCCGGTCTCACTTCCTATTTGGAAACCTTCAGGCTCCACCCACAGACTTGCACACAGATGCACAGAAAATATCTGACAAATTCAGGGTTTAAAAAAAAAACGCCCATTAAAGGGTGCACTTTTCAGAAGATAAATGTCAGTTCATTTGGTCTTTAGTTTTATCCAGATGTAAAGGAGTCAATTCAGGAGTTGGATTTCATTTCATGTCACAGAATAATTATAATATTACTGTTGTGAATAATGTTACTGGTATTGAGTTCCATTCGCTCTGATTATCTGACAGTGAAATAAGCTTCAGTGTACAGACCCACTGTCGTCAGTGGCTTGTAATTCACCAGCCCTTAAAAGAAATTTGCTTCTCTCCTTCACTGTGCCACTCAGCCTCATGTTTGAATGAGATTAAAAGTCCCTGGAACTGTTGTTTTTAACCCTCCATTGAAAATATGTCTTTTGCATTATTGCTAAAAAAAAAACAACATGGCTGCTAAATTTGGTCTACTGGATCAGCACAACCAAAATTTTTACTTTTCCCCTAATTCCAACCACGTCACATGCAGGTCTTGTATGAAGTGAATAGTTTGGTTGAATTTAGTCCGTAGTCTGTTCTTATTAATTATTTTATTATGTCCCTCTCATTCTTTTACTCAACATGGTTTATTTCAATGTCAAAACACCTTGTAGTGTTAAAACTCATCACTGTATGAACACTTCACGTGTTTTTAACTTTTTATTTTTTGTAGTCAGGTTCCCAGCCCCCTATGTTTTGCCAGTCTTTATACAAAATAATCGTGTGCATTGTTTTTTTTTTTTTCTTTAAAAATGTCCCTTCCTCAAAAAGTCCAACAGCCTACGCCTAACAAATGTGATTACAGTGTGTATGTGGTGCAGATGGGTGGATGTTATGAGCCGTTTGTCTGGGAGGTAATTCATCCTCTGTGGGTTTGAAACACACTGCAGACGGATGAACTGCAGATGTCTAGGTTGTGTCTGTGTCTGATGTGGCTACGGCCACGTTCAGTATATCTTTTAATTGGAAGACTTTTATTTTGTCCCCTCCAAACAAACAGACAAGAGAGATTTTTCTTGTTGTGAAAGCCTTTCAGTACAAACAAACCATCTTTATTACAGGATTAAAAAAAATGAGAGGAGAACATTTTCAAAAAAGTACATGTAAATAATGTAGAGGTGTTTGTTTCTCGTAGAAACACACTGATTCCAAGATGTAAATATGTTATTTCTTTTCCTCCTGCTATGAGGAGGAAACATGTACATACCTTCCATTCATTTATTTTTTATTGTTTTCTTTCCTTTAATTTGATGATTATTTTAATATTATTTGCAATATTTCTCTTGTATCAATACGTTGGACCCTTTATTAATGGTGCATTAAAATATTTTTTAAATAAAAAAGTCTGTGTTCTTTCTTAAACAGTGTTCAAAGGTTTTGATAAGGTTTTTGGAAATGAGTGGGCATTAGATTTAAAAAAGAACAGATAAACAGATTAAAGAAAAACGCACAGGCACAGTTGGCTTATATGTTGTTAACTTGTAGGTGAAGTATGTTAAATTTCCTATAACCCAGTAATACAGTTAACTTGGACATTTTTAAAAAAGTAGTTTCCTTCCCTCGTGTGAATGTTGTACATGTCAAACATGCACAGGAAATTCTGCATCACACACCTGCAACTGGGACATTTCCTCTTGGTGTGTGGGAGGAAGCACGTCTGACAACACGAGGCATCCTTTTACAGTGTGTCAATTTACTGGTTGTTAAATGAAATGACGACAAAGGAAAAGGAAAGCAGAGAAAATCAGACCAGGTGGTGACCTGGGCGGATATATGACGTTTTGGCTGTGTTGAAAAATGCTCCATAGTTAATTTATTTTTTTAGGTCATAATATTGATCCTCTAATGTACTTCTGTGATGGAAATGTTTCTCCATAACTTCCTCTTAAGATGTAGGCTGGCTCAAACTCGAAATGACAAACTGTCTTGTTGCAATGTTTCCTAGTAATGGTCACAAACCGCTGTTGTCATAGAACTGTACAGGACATCAGCTTGTTCATTTAAATAGACAGGGGTGACAGCACACTCTGACTTTCTCTCTTCACACCAGACTGAACATTCATTATTCATTAAGCAAAAAATAAAGTATGGCACCAGGAGATTAATCATCGGTAATTAAAAATGTTGACTATGCTAGTTGTCTTTTTTCATTTTGGCTGCTCATAAATTTGAAAAGTATAAATTTTAATGAAAGTGCTGTGAGGGTGTAGTCTTTGCAGGCTTCAGTTTTAAACAGCACATTGATTCAACTTTGACCAGTTGTTCTCTGTTGAAAGACTTTATTTTGGCCACGGTTTGAGAAAAGTGACCTCGACGCTTTAGGTTACTCTAGTCCAGATGCAACATATTCATATGCTCCCAGTATTTAAGTTTAAACCTGACTGACACCTAACTGACATCCTAGATAAACTGTACTGGGACAAATGGGAGCAAGGATAAAAGGCACATCACATTAAATCACATTAGATTATATTTAAAAAAAAACATAAAAGGAAAATGTCACATTAAGTGACTTTCACAGAGATGGGAGGCAACGATGCACAAAACTGAGCCAAAAAAGGATTTATTTATTTAAGGATTTTATTTATTTATTGATAAAAAAGATTTATCAACTTTATCAGAGGAAATGTTCAATGGAGCTTTAGATTTCAGAGGAAACAAAAAATTAAAGCACCATGATGATTCCCAGTGGTAAACACCACCTTACTTTACCGCCATCTAGAAGGACATCAATTAAGGCAAGTCATAATAACAGGTCATTTACTGTGGAGGAAATGACACAACCATCCGGTTACTAACCATGGAATCAAAGTGAAGCCCTAGTGGTAGACTGGAACTACGCCTGCTTTTGTGTGTTTTGTGATATTATCATAAGAACTTTAACACTTTTGGTCAAAAACTCAAGTCACATTAAATAACATTAGCAGCATTGCCCATGTCAACAACAGGGGGAGCAATACATGCTTTTTAAACCAATGCCTTCAAATATTGACTTGCATACAACTACAGTGTTATCAATTTGTTGACTGAGGTAATCCACGTAATCCACGTGAGAAAGGAAAGCATTTATCATTTCAGACAACCAACCACCGCTTGTTAGTAACTGACAGTTCCTAAATAAGCCGTTGATCACATCACGACAGATTAAGGTGATTCAGACAAGTACAAGATTATAGTATAGTCTGCACTGGAGTGTCTCAGAGTCACAACACAACAACAGAACACAACAGTGTCAACTACAATCCTCTAAGAATGTTAAAAATGACTCTTTTTAAAAATGTTTTATTTTTGATTCTGTTTGATATTAGGCTGATTTTGTCACTTCCTCCATCACTCACATCCTAACTGGAGCCAAAGCCATGATTCATGGGATGTGGGCCAGTCCAGTTCAGTGCCTAATACCGACACCAACAACCGTTCACACGCTCATGTGTGACTGAGTTACAATTGTCCCTGTCCTGCATGAGTTTGGATTTTGGTTTTTAGGAGGAATCCACAGTACTGGGAGAAAACACTCAGACACGTATGGGGAACAGGCAACCTTAAAAAAAATATAAGGATTGTGTGGGAACTTATGTTATATCTGTGACCACCAACCACTGTGAACTTTAAAACCTTTTGAAGGTCTTTTAGCCGTTTTGCTCAATGGATCTGCCAAAAATAATACAAAAAACCTTCACCATGATTAATATAAATGTAACGAACTTTTTACTCCTGTATTACAACATTTATTAATTTACCAAATCTAATAGGTCTCTGTAGGCGAGTGCTTCTCAAAGCGTGGGTCGGTCTCCACTGGTGCAAGGAGGTTTTCAAGGTTCAAGTGATGATGTCAAAACTGTACCTTTATTTTCTCTTTTTGAACTTTTTGTCAGTTGATGTCATTGATTTTTATTCATGATCGAATATGACGTTACTTGGTGTTAGTTTAATCAATCTGAAATGTAATTTTGCAAGATTTCAGTTGGGGGAGTTGAATAAGGGTTGAGAAGCATTGCTGTGGGCTGACCCATGCGTAAACTCTGTTCAAGAAGGGATCAAGTTTGAGTGGGAAAAAAAGTCGCTCTGTCTTTAAATAGACCTCAGCCACTTCCAGTCTGTCAGAGCAGCAGCAGCAGCAGCAGCAGCACCACGGCAGCATCATGTCGGACACTCGGCAGGGTCTGGTCTACATGATCACCGGAGGCTGCGGCTTCCTGGGCAAACACCTGCTCACACTCTTACTGGAGAAGGAGGACAACGTGGACGAGATCCGTGTTTTTGACAAAAACGTGGACACAAGTTTGAACGGACTCAGCACAGGTAAGAGTGTTGACTTTAACATTCGCTTCTTTCCAGCGCAGACCAGTGTGAGGCTGTCTGTTCAAGGGTCAGTAGTCACAGAGGTTTATTTCAAGTGTTAACGCACCATTGGTTACATTTAAAAAGTAAAAGTAAAAACAACACCGAGCAGTCACGGAACCTCATCACGTTAGTGTTTGAACACTTCACCCAGTGTGACGTGTAAAGCATTGAGTCAGCACTTTTTAATTACCTACCTTTTAACGGTCACGTTTAAAACGGAACCTGTCTTTTTTATTATTAACTTTGTTTAATAACACGCCATAAAATATTAAAAAATCTGCCTAATTCTAATGTTAAGCCAGCCAGACTGGATTATAACTGTTTACCGCATGTCAATTTAAATTGATAATTTTCATGGTAATAATCACATTAAATCTAAATAGTATTTACATATGTCCAGTGCAGGATCATGTTTTTCACCATGGAATGACGTCATTAAAGCCTTCAGTTGCAGCTGTTAGACTTTAAATATTGTTGTCTTGTAATAGCTGATGTCATGGAAAACAAATCGGACGTATTTGTGATTATAGTGGATGTAGAATGTTGTACAGCAGTTGCTGCAGTATTGCTGTGTTCACAGAGCAGTTGTTGAAGTGCTAAAACCACAACAACTGTCATGTCACCAAGGTTCACAGTGTGATTGTGTGTGTTATTGTCCCTGGACACAGAGCAGACTAAGGTGGTGGTCATCCAGGGGGACATAACAGACTACAGCAGCGTGCTGGCAGCCTGCCGTGGAGCAGACGTGGTCGTCCATATGGCCAGCCTGGTCGATGTATGGCACAGAGTCTCCGACACACTCATCCATTCAGTCAATGTCACAGGTGAGACTCCTGACAAAGGGTTAACAACTGAAAGAATGCTGCGACGATGTCATGTGTTATGACATTTATTATTCTTTGCTGAACTGATATGAATTTCACTTCTTTTTTCACCGTGCCTCAAATAAGGAAGTTGAGGTGACAAGATTATCACGTTTGTCATTACTGGCCTTAACTTGAACGTACAAAATGAGATCACACAGTCTTAGCTTTTGTGCCTGTGGCGCCTTGGGTATCCGGTGGCACTGTTGAGCCATGCTAAATAATTCATGTAATAACATGAGGTGCTGTGAATGGTATTTGGTAAAATATGAAGCTGCCCACTGCTCCCCTTGGTGATAGGTTAAAAGCAGAGGCTCAGTTTGGTTGTACCCCCATGGTACAATGACAATACAGACTGTAAAAAAAATAAAATAAATATATTTTCTGTAGATTTAAGTGACAAGTTGGAGTGAGTTCCAACGTGTTTCACGTGTCCTTGCATCCTTTCCTTTTAAGCTAAAGTTCTGGTGAACTTTTATCTACTTTTGGCCAAGTTTGGTTGTTTGCTATTTGCTACTTGGCTATTCCTCGGCTAATATTTGGCTAATTTCAGAGTACTTTATGGCAAATTTTAACTAGTTTGGGCTACCTTGTTGCAGCTGCATAACAGTGGGACAGAGAACCAGTACATATCAAAGCTGTTATCATTTTATTGATTGCACAGACAAAGTTCAAATATGTCAGCTGACGGTCAAATTCTAGACGTGAAGTGACGACCAAGTGTAAGTGCAATGGTGCAATGGCATTCTTTAAAAACAGCCGCTTCAAAGAGGAAAGATGTCTAACTTCCTGTGTATGGACATTTTGTACATGGTTTGTGAACATGTCTGCGTTGGTATCCAAATCTGCATTTAAAAAAAGGACTTTGTAATGATTAATGTGTTTTGGTTTTATAATCTCTTTTTTTTCCTTGTCTCTGGAGATGGTGTCAGTCAGTTGACCTGCTCCTAGGCAGAAATATTTTGACAACTATTTGAAGCAAATAAATATTAAATATTTGTGCAGACGGTGAAAGAGTTCAAGTATTAAGCAGAGTTGCTGCTTGAATGGATTTTGATATGTATTCCTCTAGGAAATCTAGAAAAAACATCCCGTGGAATTTTCTTCTTTTCCTCTGATACTGCAGACTCTGGGTTTTTGAACCACACAGCTGTAATTATTTATTTGTTAGACATCTGAACGTTTTAACACAGTGAAAGTACATTTGAACACAGTTAACTGACATCTTCACTGGATTTCACTGGACTTCACTTGTTTTTCTAAGTCTGTCGATGTATGTTAAATTGTGACTTTTCGCCTAAATGGTGCTGTAATTCAAGCAACTCAACATTCTTTTTTCTTTGACCTGAGGATCTTTTTTCTCCTCGTTCTCAGGGACAGAGAATGTTATCAATGCCTGTGTGGAATGTGACATCCAGAGTCTTGTCTACACCAGCAGTATGGAAGTTATTGGGCCTAATGTCAACGGAGACCACTTTGTCAGGTAATGCCAAAGATGTGGTTTTAATTCACTTTGTTTATTCATTGTACCATTTAAAATCATTCAGCTCAACCTGACATTGTAATCCACACCTCTCTTGTGAGAAATACTTTCGATCTCTACTCTGCGTCCCATTTTTCAATGTACCCTCCTGGGAAAACAGATGTGTCCAACACCCCTGGTCCACATTAACTGTACTTAAAGTATTCTCATTGTGTCTTTGCTTTGTGTTGTGGCTTTAGTTTCCTTTCCTAAATTTGCATTGCATTAATACATTTATCAAATCAGATTATTCTCAGTGTATTTTTTGAATTCAAACATTGTCAACATGACCATTGTGTTAGCTGTATAGAGGAAGAAAAATTCCCTGGCAGTAAAGCAAATCGTTGTGATTCCTACACTGGGGTTTAACTGCCTATTTTTGACGATTCTCATTCTCTTATCAGCCTTGATGATCTGTCTGTTTGAATCTGTCCAGTGTAATGGCAGCTTGACCAAACTGTGTGTAGTTAAGTGGACCTCAATGTCCACTCAAACAAATGCACAAGACCATAAATCAGACCATGGTATGGAAGCCAAGATGACCTTTTCAACTTCCATTTATCCAAAGATGTTGTGTTAATTTATTGCAACATTAAATGTCCACTTGATCAGCATTTAAGACACCAATCTTCTCTCTTCTATTTTTACATACACTCAGGAGAGCTCTTTCTATTTTACAGAGTTTGATAGATAGATAGATAGATAGATAGATAGATAGATAGATAGATAGATAGATAGATAGATAGATAGATAGATAGATAGATAAATGGATGGAATTTGTTCAGAATTGTGTAAGAGCGTGTGTTGTTTTGCACGTACAAAAGCCATTGTAGTATGTGTCACCCTCCTGTTTATTTCAAACAGAAATTGTTGAGTCATTTGCTGAGTGTGGTGAAACATGTCTTGGACACACTTTTGATTACATATTTACACTTTCACCATCTTTGATAATTCTTTTCTTTCAGGGGCAATGAAGACACAGCTTACCTTGTGAGCCATGCCATGGCTTATCCCAAGAGCAAAGCACAGGCAGAGAAAATTGTGCTGATGGCGAATGGCAGACAGGTAATTGGAAACCCAATAGTACAGGAAATTCCCTTTAAAACAGTCTGACACATCACCACATTGTGTTCTACCTTTTCTACCCACGTTTTACAGTATTTCCTGTTAGCTCTTCTTGCTACTTACTAACGGTAAATTCTTGTTTTGACTTGTGACTTCAGCTGAAAGGTGGGAAGTGTTTATACACATGCAGTCTGAGGCCAACAGGGATCTATGGTGAAGGACATGAACTTTTCAGGGAGTTCTACCAACAGGCTGCAGACAATAAAGGCCTGGTTTACAATGGTATCCCAGACTCTACTGAGCACGGGCGAGTCTACGCAGGTGAGGCTATAATAACCTACCACAACTTTGGAGACTAGTGTGAGAATGTCTGTTAATCATGCAAAGCAGACCAACTACTGATCTATTTTTACCATTGAAACAGATCATAGCACATCAATCCAAAAATTAGAAATGATTAAACAGCCACACCAGACAGGTGTTCAGAGACAAAATGAACCAAAATCACCAAAGTCCCAGTTTGTTTAATGTCACTCCTGGTGATGTAAAAATGGCAAATGCATACAAAAGTGCACAATGTTGGTAATTGTTCTTCTATGGTCATTAGAGGAGCTGGAGGAAATCCCAGCTGCCTGCAGGGCAATCAAAACCAGATATCAACCAGATAACAGCTGCAGCCAAACAAAAGTGACACTTTTTCTTCAAAAAGAAAGAACGACTTCAGTCAGGAGAAATCTCTGTGCACAAAGGCCAGAGACATATTAGGCCAGAGAAATCATTATTGAGAAATCTGTGACGAGTTACAAGGACCACTGCTGCAGTAGGAAGATACTCAGACGAACATTCTTGGTCTGCTGCAGTGGCGGATGTGTGACATCAGTTATTGTCAAGGGTTTTGTTTTTGCTGAGTTAATTATAACTCTGTTTGATCTGAACAAGTCTTTGGGAGTGACTTATTTACTAAATAGTCCATACCCTAAGTCCCTGTGTTTATGTTTTTGAGAACATGTACCAGAAACCTATTTGTGTATCAGTAAAAAAACACTCTGACTTAGACATAATGCCTTCCTCTAATATGTTGTTGTTTACAAAACTATATTTCTAAGATCTTTCTGTCCCACATCCTGGACTTGCGATATGTGCTGCATAATTTATTCTAAAAAATGTATTCATTCAGGAATTTGTATAACGACTCATTAATTTGACTTTTCTTCCAATGCTGCCAAAAGAGTGCTCAACTATTAAACATCAACTCTCTTTATTATACATTCATTTCTTCCTTGACGTATTCTATAATAAACGAATCTGTTTGTTTCACTAGGCAACGTGGCCTGGATGCACGTATTAGCAGCCCGCGCCCTGAGGGAGCGCCCACAAGCCCTGGCAGGGGAGACGTTTTTCTGTTACGATGACTCACCCTATCAGAGCTACACCAATTTCAACATGCAGTTCCTCACTTCATTTAACTTCAGAATGGTTCACATCCCTTTTTTTGTGATCTGGCTGTTAGCCATGATCAATGATCTACTTCGTTGGACATTGAGCCCCTTTTATAATTACACCCCACTGCTGAATTGCTACACCTTTGCTGTAGCTTCTACCTCCTTCACGGTGAAAACAGACAAAGCCGAACGTTACTTCCAGTATCGGCCGTTATATAACTGGGACCAGTGTCGAGACCGCACACAGGAATGGATTAATACGTTCCCTCAGAGTAAAGGGAAAGACTCTTGATGTGACCTCAGCTGCTGAAACACACATCCGATGTTTTTTTCTTGCTTTTTTTGTACTAAGTAAGCTAAGTAAATAAATGAAGGAAGTAAACATATTTCAAGTATTTGCAGATAACACAGCTGAAGTAAACTGAAAATATATTCTCTTGGATAGGAACATTGGACCATGTCAGGCCAGTGTGTAGATGAATGGCACTTAGGAGTATAGAAGTTTTGGATTAGTGTTTGTAAGACAGGTTGTGTCCTTCTCTTTCTCCTCTGCAGAGGGTGCAATAATTCATGCTGCTGGGTCCAAAGCATTTCCTCAAGAACAATTACTGTAACACATTTAGCATTTGAGACTCGCGATTCCCCACTGGTTAAGAGAGAGAGACCAAGAAAATACTTAATCCACCTTTACGTATTAGTGAGAGAAGAAAAGTCTTAATTTGACGTATGACACGTTGACTGTTGTTGACTGTGTGACAAAAGCACTTGGTATCATTAACATAGAGGCTGTCTTTATTAGATGTATTATTTGTCCTCGTGGAGAATATTCTTCACAGCATGACAACAACACACACACAAAAAACATGTCCGACACTTCTTATGTTTACTTCATACTTTGTACCGATTTTACAATTTTATGCAATTACAACAATTTTGCTCAGCTGCTCAAATATGCTATTATATTTTAAATTATTCATTAATTATTATACAATTATGGAAATTGTATCACAGAATTTCTCAAATGTTACTATATGTTTTATAAAATCAATTATCACCAATGTAAACAGTTAATAAGCAGTTATTAGATGTCTGGATCTACAAAGAGTACTACACTAATACAGTTTTAAACAATGGATGTAACATTTTTACATAATAAAGACTGGATTTCTTCTAATGTTTGTTTATGTTATTGTGATGTGATATGTATGAATCTGAGATGGTTTGGACATATCCAAAGCATTTGAAGGTGGAGTTGCCTCGCAGAAGGAAATGAGAAAGATTCCAGAGAAGATTAGTGGAGATAAATAAAGGTGGAGTGGTTAAAGATTCACCGTGGCAGACCCACAGGAGAAGAAGAGTAAGATTGTAATGTTATTTAACACAACATTCTTGTGCTGTCTGGAGACACCACACATGTCCAATATCTATTCTCATGGGTTCAAAACTTGATGCCAGCAAGGTGAATGATTAGAGTTTGAGATGTTCACTGGTAGTGTGGAGGAGTAGAACTTGATATTTATGTTGTTTCCTTGGAAACTTGCAACAACTTGTAATAATGTTCAAAGCGAGGAAAAAACCCCATCAAAAGCTGCTTCACCTGGTTTAGTGTAAACACTGGGACAAGCTGTGTTTGCAGTGTAGTTTAAAGGGGCTGAGTGATGTATACACAGAGAGCCATTCATGTCTGCAGGTCATGGTCAGAGCTGAGGTGTCTAAACATGAACCAGACAAGCAACACCTCTGTTCCACCTAAAATGTAACAACAAAATATCCTTAAAACAGACATTGTTTAAACTATGCCAGGAAAGCTGAAGAATCCAAACCTACACCTCAATACACCCAGAAGAATGACATCATATAACAGCGTAATTTCTCTCCTCGTAGATATCATTTATGGAGACGACTAATTCTTCCCTGTAGGTGTGGACCAGAATGTTCTGTGTAACCCTGACTACAGACTCCTTAACAACCACATCTATATATTTTTGTTGTTGTATGGGAGTTCCCTCATTGTTAGAACTTGTGTTGTTTCAACTTGCCAGGGAGTCCCCCATTTCTGTGGTTTTCCATGGAAATCTTCATAGCATTGAAGAGTTTCAGTGGTGTAATAGTTACAGCAGGCGGAAAAGATGACTCACAGTGAAGGAAACAACTTTTGGAATGCTGTGCAAACAACAAATCTGGTGAATACTATTACATAATACTAGCCTCTTTTGTGATGTAATGCCTATAGGCTCACCTCAGTGTTTGTTTGTGTACTTTACATGACATATTGTTACACTGGCACTCAAAGGACTTCATTCACAATCGCACTTCATTTATTTGAACATGTTCCATGTTTAGTCATTCCTGAGTTCATCACACGTTTATTCTTTTTCATAGTTCCTTCAAGCATCGCTAATACTCCCACCACTGTGTGTCACTGTAGGGATGGATTCCTAACTATTGTGCCTCCACACAAAGTTGTCCCATGAATTTACTTACAATAACTGGCCTCAAAAACATTATTTATTTACTGCAAAAAATGTGTTTTTTCATTTATGCAACAGTGACAGGCAGAATAGTTAAGTACTCTCCCATTAGGTGGCAGCAGATTTGTTCTTCGATTGCAGATTCTAAAATGTGGCATTGTGAAGACCTTCTAAAAAAGATTTTTTCACATTACCTTAATCTTGACATCTGTATGTAATCCTAGAACCATGTCTCATCAAAATTCTGACTTAGGTTTAAGAAAATACAACAGGCTTTCGTCTTCTGCAGATTTCTTTCCATCATAAAAAGCAAGTTCCATTATACATCTTTGGCTAACAGGTCAAACACTTAGGTTTAGGGTGATTCTGCCATCTACTGGTCAGACAAAGGTCAACAAACCAGCGATGGATTTCACCTGTAGTGTAGCATAGGCGTTTTCAAATAGATTGAATTCATTTTCCCTAAGTCAATGTTTTTACCTTCTACAATTGATTTTAAAGTAAATTCCTTCTTACTATGCAACAATACATAGCAAATATATATTCAACTGAATGTTTTTCAAAATAAAAAGCGATCTTTTGCAGTTCCCTACTGTGTGTCAGGGAGGGTCCCTTTCAGATACGTGCGAGTGCCCGGTCACAGTGACGGGGACGTGCACGTAGCTGTCAGAAGGAAATGAAGGAGGCTGCTGCTGCTTCTGCTGCTGCTGGTGAATGTGTCCCTGTGTCGCTGTGAAGAGATAAATTCAACAAAGAAACTCTCGGTGTTTTCACTGGACGAAGACCGTTATTCAGGGAGCAGATTAAATGTGATGACTGTACACTGCCTGCACGCCTAACGATAGTACCGGGTACGTTTTTCTGCCTGGCTACGGCTAACAACGATAGTGCTAACAGAAACAGTGGATGGAAAAAGCTAAAACTTAGCTGCTAGTAACTTAGCCTAGCTTACTGTCCCACTGCAGGACTCCTGCTCCTCACTCCGTCCAGCTCTTGTTCCAGTTGTGTGATTTCATTTTACGGAGGAGGCAGTGAAGGCGGAGCTGTGGCGGGGGGGGCCAGAGCTCAGGAAGCCCCTGGCTGACCAGGCGGGAGGACCGTAGTGACACACGCCGGTGGTGGGTGAGTTGACCTGGGCTGTGGAGTGGACAAGGCCGTGGACGCTGCGCCCGGGCCTGGCTCACAGGGAGGGTGGTGACTGTCAACTCTTGGAAGCTTTCGTTAGTTAGGGGTTTCACGAATGTGATACTGCTAAAGAGGGAAGTTGAGTCATTTTGAGTAATAGAGTGATTTTATATGTAGTTACTCTGTGACAATGGCGTGGGGTTTGTGTTGTAACAATGACAAATATCCGCTTCATCAGCTGGATTACTAGCTCTTTTCAGGGAGCTTTTGGGATAACTTTAAACCATGGAAGTCGACTATACAGTCCAATGTGTCTCTGAAGTAATTTCTGTCCTTTTCCAGGTAGTAACTACTGTATAAAAATTTAAATTTAATGTTAGTTTTTTTTAAATAAGCTAATTACTATTTTGTATTGTATTGTAATGATTGTATATTCTGTAAATAATCCTAATGCGATATGGTTGTCATACATGCTTGAATATAGACAAGGTTAGGCAAGAGATAAAGAACCAAATTATTATTAGTGAATTGTTTAAAAAGTGCACAACATGCAACCTGCAATAGTACTGTAGTTGGTAGAATAGTTCAATTCTGCATGCATGACTTTCAAATTGATTTTAACACTATAGGTGTCAGTGCAGCTCATACTGTAGAACACATCAACTGCCCAAAAGTTTTTGTTACTCATGAATCCTGCTTCTGCTTGTCAAGGCTAGAGGGCAAAAGAGGAAAAGAGACAAAGCTCTATCAGTGGACTGCTCTTCTTGAATAAAAAAAAAGAGGAAGTGAAAAAGTGTCAATTGTTTACAATGTATTATTACAGTTGTGGTGGCATTTTTATTAGTTTAACGCTTTCCTCAATGACCTAATATTCCACAAGTTCTGAGCGTTTTGTCTTCTGCAACAGTGCCCCTAAAAACTCTATTCAATAGTAAAAAAAGAGTTGCATTATTTTTACTCTGTGAGTAGGTGACAACTTTTTGTGATGCTCGTTTGAGAATGTTTTTTAAAGTATAAACTAGTTCTAGTAAATTGTAGCTGTGTAATTGTGACTATATTTTCCTGTCTAAAAGTAAACTTTTATTGATTTAGAAGGCAACTGACATTGTAAAAAAATTTAGCTAAGCTAATTACACATTTTTTTAAACATCACAAAGGTTAGCATGTAGATGTTTGCATCTGTGTGTATTGTTTTTTTTTCCAACAGTTTCTGTCTCTATATTTTTTACATTTTGCACATATTTGCTTTTATTTTTACATTGTTACTGTTTTTTCTATGTTATTTAAAGAAAAGATCAGAACAGAACCATGGCTGATATCTCCACCTTATCACCAACTACACTGGCTGATCCTCAAGCAGCTCCCTCTGTCCCTACATCCTCAGCTGCTCACCCTGCTTCCAGCATCACTGCTGATGACTCTAAACCCAAGTCTGCCCTCTACAATGACAAAGCTCTGACTGCTAACACTCCTGCAGCACAGTTTGCAGCTACAGCCACATCTCCACGCCCACTCCTAAATCCTCAAAAAATCAATGCCGACACACCCCACCCATCACTGGTACATGAGAATGCTTCGCAGGGAAAGGAATCGACAGGGGATGGTATCAACATGTCCATTGACCCAGCTGTTGGAAAGCTCACAAATACTGAAACAGAGAACCCAGCAACATCAAGTGAGCCATCTGCTCAGACTGAAGCACAACCAACGTCTCCATCTCCTGATCTCAGTTCTGGTCCCAACCTCTATCCAAATGTGCATGTCACCCTAAATCCAAATCCCATCACAGATGCTGGTCAGTTTACAGCAGGCCAGACTCAAACCCCTGCAGATTCCACTCTACCACCCACGCTTGCAGCATCCTCAAACACCTTGGTATCAGAAATGACTGCAGAGGAAGAACCTCAGCCACCACAACAAGCACAAAACCCTCAAAGTCAGTCTCCATCCCTGTCTTCAAAGCATGATGACCCTAATGATAGCAGGAAAGCAGAATTGCCCAACACCTCAACCAGAGGTGAGCATCCCAGCCCGACTGTACCACTGATCCAAGAACCAGTCTGTGCACTTCCACTGCACTTCCCAAATCCTCGCCCGGCACCCGACACGCTGAGTTACCTGGAGTCAGCCAGCCTCATGTCAGGAACCTTAGAGTCACTGTCTGGGTTGGGAGATGACGGCAGCTCTGTGGGCTCTGACTCGGAGATCAATGGCTCAACTATTCGACGCACGGACAAATATGGCTTCCTTGGTGGGAATCAGTACAGTGAAAGCAGGTGAGTGTGAAGATCTTCTTATAATCACTTTTACTGTCTGCCAGTTTCCAGTATACTGGCTTAAATATGACCTTGATAAATGTTTCACGTGAATTAATTTTTAAGGAAGGTTTATAAAAGGCTTGCCAAGAGGAGAAGCAACAGAGACAAATTGTGGCACTTCTTTAAGTGACTTAACTTTTTGACTATTTGTTGCAGTATTTGTTGTCTTTTCAAACCATCTCTGACCTCAAAATTATTCTGTTACAACTTGGCTAATGTTTTTTAAGCTAACTTTTGAGCCATTTCATATACTATAACTGCAGTCACAGTCCTCTAGTTTTCACCAGTAATAGGCTCAAGAGCACAGTGAGTGTAAATCAATATACCATCTGCTGTGCACTAAAGCAACATTTTAGAAGTGAAGTGTATAACAAATTATAATCTGAATGATCACAGGAACAGCAGTTGTCATGAAAATGGATTATTTCCACTTGTGCCCAGACTATATACAGACTACATCTAATTGAACACAAAATTAGGTTACATGCTGTTTTACATTCCTTCCTTGTGATTGGCTACTTTGCCAGTCTATGTTCTTATCTGATTGTCCTTTATTTACCCTTGGTCAGACTCAGATAATGATGAGAGTCTTTTTTTGTGTGTGTAGTGACTGCATGTCCCTCTGTTATAATCCATCTCACCTTTTTGCTGTTGTGCCTTAAAAAAACAAATTAGCTTCTTTCTTGAAGGCTACTTGGTTTTCTAGTATTGAATAATTGAAGCCTCATTGATTTCATGTCTGTATACTTACTACATTCTTGGCAACAATGAGTGTGTTTTGTAATTGGCTTCTGTTACAGAGTCAGTGGTGTAGTCCATTTGTGACAGTAAAAGTTCACTGTATAAACAGCACAGTTCTAAATATAGAAATAAGATATAAAAAAAGAAATGCTTTCTCAGTCATGAACCTTGTTATTCACTGTGACAGTGAAAAAGAAATCCGAGTAGAAGTTGCTCGTCAGAGGGAGATGAAGTGGCTTGACATGTTCAACAACTGGGATAAGTGGATCAAACATCGCTTTCAGAAGGTAAGAACTATTTTAATTAGCTGTTTGAATTTATGGGAAGTGGGGGTTTTATTTTTGTGTCACAGAATAAAAGAAAAATGTCAAATATAAATAACAGTGATCAAGTCAGTGCTTCCACATGACAATAGACAAAAAAATATTTTTTATCATACATGTAAACATTGTATCATATCACTAATAGTACCAGGACTTTGTTTCCCCCCTGTGGCCTCTACACACTGTATCTGCTTTACCACAGCCTCTCTGACTAAGATTCAGCAGAAATAGAAGAAACTTCTGCTAACACTGTCTTTGGTTTCTATAGGGCCCAATAAATAGATCTAGATCTACTAGTAGATACATTTCGGGCCCACCGAAAGACCAAACAGTGTTATCTGTCCTCAAGCAACAACATTACCAATAAAAAGGTTGCTTTTTTCTTGTAAAACTTTTCAAATGTATGACATAGAAAATATAGTTGTTAGACTTGCTGCTCAGCGTGAGCCAACTTGATCATAAGCCGGCATGTCACCCAAGAAAACCCTGTCACGATGCTGCAGTAAATCTCCATCCATTTTGTGCACAACAGGTGAAGATTCGCTGCAGGAAGGGAATTCCATCTTCACTCAGGTCCAAGGCCTGGCAGCTACTGTCAAACAGCCAAGATCTTCTTGATGCCAACAGAGGGAAATTTGAGGTATGATCAGTGGCGGCTGGTGAAAAATATTCTAGGTGGGGCGTTGCCATATTAAGCCAGTTTCAGTAACTATCTCAATACAACTTAACGCAAACAGCCGGATACTGGTGCATTGTGAGATAGCAATTATTTAATGCCAGTTGTGAAAATTTTGAAGCATTGTTACACAAAAACATACGCAGAATATTGCAATATTGCAATATTGAAACTGAACATGTAAACAAAAGACTCCTGAGGCACTGTTTCTAGCACCCCAGAAGCAAATATGATAATTGATATTTTCTAAATAATAATTGTGCATTTCAAACACATCCAAACTCAAAGTAAGTGATTATTGTTTATTTTAAAAATATTTATTAAAAATAACCCCAAAAATACCAGGGTGTAGGGTGGGACCAGAGCATCCTTTATGTTGCCACTGCTGGTAGGTGTCGTTTTATTATTCAGTTATTAACATTGCCTTTAAAAACACGTTTGTAGAGTACAGAGAAATCAGTCTAAAGATTTTTCCTGCTCTACATGTTGTGACAGTTTTAACCAGTCCTCTTTGGTTACTGATGTAAAAAAGTTTATATAAGGATAGTCACCTAGCCTAAATTCTCAGCTCAAGGACCAGAAAGAAACGTGTGGCAAATTTGATTGGAGTTGTAAGAAGTTATGAAGGGAAGTTGTGGCTGAGTGGGCTAATATCAGCTGCAGGGCCCAGACATGGAGGGTTTGAGCCATAAGCCTCTTATGAGGATCAGTAATCCTGGGTGTCACAGCTTTGCTACTGTGTCCACACTCCAGCTCGTTCTGACCCTGTTGGGTTTGAGTCCAAATTAGCCGAGGGACCAATGTTTATTTTTGTTTGAGGGAGAATTTTGATTCAAATTTCATTTAAAGTTTGTTTTGTCTGTAATATCTGTCAAGTACATTAAAAACTGCATTCAAATCCCATTGGCTTTAATTCTAATTTTCATCTTATTGTTTTAACCACAGGAGCTGGAGAGAGAGCAGGGTGAGGCCAAATGGCTGGATATTATAGAAAAAGATCTCCACAGACAGTTCCCCTTCCATGAGATGTTTGCTGCCCGTGGTGGTCATGGGTAAAGATAATAAAGAACATCATAGATTAAATGCACTGGATTGAAATAATTGAGTCTCCAAATGACATTCTGTGTGTATTCTTCTTTTCTTGTTCACACAGACAACAGGATTTATACCGCATCCTAAAAGCCTACACCATTTACCGACCTGATGAAGGATACTGTCAGGCTCAGGCTCCTGTGGCTGCAGTGCTGCTCATGCATATGCCTGCTGAGGTGAGCAGCTACAACTGTGTGGGGACACATTCTGTCTTTGTCTTTAAAACAAAATTCAAGTCAGTTCAAATCTGAAGAGTTTCTTTTTGAAAATAAAAATGCTTAGGTTAGCAAAAAGGAATTTGAAAATAGTTCTGCTATAATTAGTTGTAAATATAGTCAAATATGGTTTCAGAGTGGCTAAAGGATAGTAATAATATAATAAGTAATAATTTGATAGAATTGCTGAGAAATGGATTCAAATGGATTTATATCACACCCATGACACTTTTGTGTCATGGGTGTGATATGTAACACAGATAATAGAAACTAAATATAGATGTACTTTGGTAAAGACTTGTGTGCATAATGCTCTATTTTTGTCACATTCCCAAAGAAGAAGCAGAAAACAGAAGTAGGAATTCAAAAGGCTGCTGTTCTTCAAATCACAGATGTTTGTTTTGAAAAAAAATGACTGATTCTTTTTTGTCTCACAGCAAGCCTTTTGGTGCCTGGTCCAGATATGTGAGAAATATCTACCTGGTTACTACAGTGCTGGGCTGGTCAGTTATTGAAAACCATAACTTGTCTATATGTGTTCATCGAAACCATTGTCAACTTTGTAACTGACTTTACTTTGCTTTTCAGGAAGCGATCCAGCTTGACGGCGAGATTTTCTTTTCCCTATTACGACGCACGTGTCCAATGGCGTATCGTCACCTGAAGAAGTTCAAGATCGACCCCATACTTTACATGACCGAGTGGTTCATGTGCATCTTCTCACGGACGTTACCATGGGCCTGTGTGCTGCGTGTGTGGGACATGTTCTTCTGCGAAGGTATGATTCACCGCACAGTTTTATAATAAAAAAAAAAACCCTGTATAAGAAACACCCTGATTGGCTAGATCAAAAATCCTGGTTCAACCCATCACAACCAAGTGTTTTTCCTCACATAGTCCTGAATTTGTCTGGATCAGAGGTCACTGACCTTAGCTGATGGAAGGCTAGTTAATAGTGTGGATGGCTCCTATTTATGATTCCTAAATTATTGTATTAAAGCAGACATATTATACACAACTGACATGTGGTGTGCAGAGCAGACAAATACATTGTCACACGGTGCTATACAAGGGAAAAGGACTTTGATTACATTTGCTCTAACTTCAGTATTGTTGCTTCATACCTAACCCACCTCCCTGGCTGTAGGAGTGAAGATAGTATTTCGCGTGGGTTTGGTGCTACTGAAACAAATGCTCGGCTCTGTGGATAAACTTCGGGAACTACAGGGAATGTATGAAACCATGGAGCGTCTGAGAAACATTTCACCTGAGAGTGTCAGAGAGGACCTCATCGTACACGAGGTGGGTGTTTCTACATTTACTTCAGTAGATTCTGTTTCTGTTTTTACTCAGAGACAGACGTTATGAGTCACTTTTGCCCGTAGTACCCTGTCTGGTAATATTCACTTCCTCTGTCTGGCTAATCTTTGTCTAATGTGTTGTCTTTCAGATTATTAGTCTCCCCGTGACAGAGGCCCTCATTGAGAGGGAAAGCAGCATCCAGGTGAGAAAATGGAGGGAGTCTAGGGGGGAGCTGACACATCAGCCCGTTCGCCGCCTGCACGGTACGAGAGCAATCTTTGAGCAGAAGCGCCGTGCTGCCTCCATCAGCTCTGGAGGAAGTTTCTCTTTCCTGGGCAGTCCGGTTCCTCCACCAGGACCTCTCAGAGCCTCCTCCAGCCTCCTGTCTCTCCCGGGCTTCCGCAAATCCAAGACTCCTTTTCATTCTCAAAGCAAGAAGGGCTCCTTCTCTGGTCCTTCAGGATTAGAGGGTCTACCACCTCGGTCACCGCCTGCAGTGACAACAAGCCCAGCTAGGGGCCCCAGCCATAAACCCCCTATTCCACCAGGAGCAGGGCAGAAGGGGCTGGTGCCTCGTAGTCAGAGCCCATTAGCTGGAAATGTAGCAGCGCCATCACATGGAGCTGCTCAGGCCTCAGAACCCCCGTCAGAACAAGGTCAACCTGCAGCTGCAGCCCCAACACCTAACCTGCTCTCCCCTTCACCCAGAGTTGTGTCAGAGGAAATCACTCCCACCATACCGTCACCTACAGCAAACAATGCCCCGCTGCCCCCGTGTCCAGATTCTAAAAAAGAAGCTTTGCCAGTGACTGATAACACACCTGGAGAGGAAGAAGGAAAGAAGAAGAAGAAGAGCAAAGAAGACAAGAGGAAAGATAAGGAAGATGAAAAGAAAAAACTGAAGGAGAAGAAGGAGAAGGAAAAAGCTGAAAAAGAGAGGCTGAAGAAGGAGAAGGAAAGGCAAGAAAAGGAGAAGAAGAAAGGGGGGAAGAAAAAAGACAAAGGAGGACGAGGAGGGGGAGCAGGGGCAGAGCCTGAAGACAAAAATGGAGCCACGGCAGCGAAAGATTTGGCCTAGTTTTCATGCCATCATTCCAGGATAATGAAAAGGGAGGCTGAAGAGGAAGAGAGAGGTCCGGGGAGGAAAACGAACCCCAAAACAAAAGAGTGATTAAATGAAATAAAAAAATGGTGGCTTCCTGTACAACAAAACACTTCAAAGACCTAATGTGTGAAAAAACTGGAATCTGGTTTTAACAGCACCTCAGGGGTCATGTGGCCCCTGATTTCTGTTTCAGCCACTTTTAGTAGGATGAGACATTTCCCTTTGTCAACTGGAGCAGGGCTGTGAATCTGAAAATAATTTCCAGAAGATCAGCCTCTTTTTTTCCCTCTGTTTTAGTTTTTTTTTTTAATTATTTTTTCTTGTTTAAATCAGATCGATGGCAACGAGTTGAGAAGCTTGGACTTGAGGATTTGTGCTTGCAGAAGTAGTTCTGGTGCCATAGATGATGTAAATAAACAGTCTCCCTGTAGTACATAGGATTTTTTAATCACTCCATTCTCCCACCAGTCTCATCTGTGGACAAGTGATCTGGACGACTGGAAGAAAGAAAGAAAAAAGAAATGTAAGAAATCCACAGAGAGAAAAAGCAGGCACCGACTCAGCCCAAGCCAACTCATGTCTTGAGTTCTAATAATGTTGTGGAGGATGTATTTATTGTCTTAATTGTTAAATGTTGTGACTGAATGAGTGTGTGCGTGAGTGTGTATGTGTCTCAGTAGTGTAGTGTAATATGCTACAGTTTAAAGTGTGGTCTTCCTGTTTTCAACTCTCCCTCTGCCTGCTCTTTTCACTCGACTCAACCAACCATGATAGATTCATGTGATTCTCCCAAAACCTTACATTCAAGGGTGACAAAAAAACAAAGAAATTGAAAAATGCAGTGGTGTGTATAAGTCTTGAGACAACTGTTTTATGAAAAAAGTCACAATGTACATAGAAAGTATTTCATAGAAAGTGCTTTTAAAATCCTCAGATTATGGCACACCTCATTTTTCAAGACAGATTAGTGGTTTAGGTTAAAGTTGGTTCCCAAAACTAGTGGATGAAATGGAGCACTAAACCTTGACAGAGCCTTCAGACAGTCTTGAATGTTTTTAGATTTTTGATGTATGTTTCTCCTGAATTTTACATCTGTGTAATTCCTCATCCATAAACTCTTGTATTATTTGTCTTTTGGTAAAACCACCCCTTTTTTTAGCTATGTTTTTCTATTTCAGAATACTTGTTATCCCCCTTTGTTGAGATCAAGATTAAAATATTTTATTCATTACGCTGAAGAACGTATTATCTAAAGATAAAGCATGGCTTTATTTTCTGGTAATTGTTTCCGACACTGTGTGTTTGGAAACATTAGAAAGTTACTGGTCAGGATGACAAACTGATCTGTCGGACAGAGAAAAGAAAAATCCCTGGATGCACAGAGGGAAAGAATTGGTTAAAGAGAAAAAGAAAACTTCCAAAGGACTGCATGTGGAAATAAATATTTGAAGTGTGAGGTTGCTCAAGACTTATAGACATCACCTATTTCTAGGTTGAGATGCCATATTGGTCCTCAGTCTGAGGAAGTGCCCTTGAAAAAGCAGGTTTAAAAAGAAAACATAATCCCACGTGACCTGGGAACCCAACAGTTCATCAATGACATTAGTGTTATTGAGCTTTTTACAGGCAGACTCAAATTTAGTTAAATTAGCCTAATTTCATTTATTAACTCTTTAGAAAGTGTTTTTTTTTTTTAGAAAATGAAGGATGATTTTTTTTTCTTGCACTTGTGATTCTGTCACAAAGCACCACTGAAGTGTCAGTGTAGAGGTGCACAGGACACGTGACCCATAGGAAGCCACTTGACTGGAGGTGCCATTGTAGCATTAACCTCGTTAAGATTTGGGCTCTGTATTTATGTACAAAGTGGTTAATTTAATCAAATATAGTATATTACGAATTATTATTATTATTATTTTGGATCTGAGTATTTTTTTTAAGTGTGTATAAAAAGAAGCCTGGCTGACTGGAACGATGGCTGACTACGCAGTGTAGCAGAAGTGGGATCATTTCAAGTGTTTGCTCTTTTCTTTGCACGTCAGATTAGACACGACTCGCTGTCGCTCAGTTTTGGTGTCACCGTTGGTTTTGGTCAAACTTAGGTTCACGAGTCTCCTGTTTATTGAAGGGCAGTATTAAAACCAACTGGAGTGCGAGGGCATGGAGCGGGGGGAGGTGCTCCAAAAGAACAAACCCGGGAAGAACGACAGAACATTTGGGAGATCAAAGTCTTAATGTCTGACACCAAGAGTGGAGTTTTGAACTTTATAATAGTTCTCCATGAGAGATCTACAGTACGTCTGTTCCATTTGGTCGTCTTGTTACATTCATAATGACTAATGAACTCTTTAACCTATTTACACTCACTGTCCTGTACTGTAACATATTTATGCATTAATCAATGGGCCCTGAAGCCCATCAGCGCATCGCAAGCGGTGCCAGGTAATAAATGTTACAAACATTTGACGACATAAACATGATGTTCTTTAACCGTACTGTTTCCTATTGGTTGAGGATTAGAGGGACTTTTGTGTGACTGTAGCCAATGTGTCCTCTGATATTCACTGTCTCTACTTCTCCAGCTCATCACATGATGATACACAAACACACACACCACATTTCTAATCCTCGGTGCATTTGTTGCTGAGGATAACCTGAACACATCTATGCAATCCTTCCTCCATTGTGACAGTTGACTGCGTGGTGATGGCGGCACTGAGGCCAACTTTAGTCGTGCGCTCACCCAGGGAAAATGAAGTTTGTGCTCCACGCAGTGGATGTTTTGTGTCATGCCCACTTTCCAAAACTCAAACCCCCCAAATTGCACTTTTCAGGAGCAAGAGGTACAATAGCCGATGAGCAATACATCCTCACAGCTCTTGCCTGATGATGTCATCTGTCGTCACTCAAGATTTCTTGACCTTTTGGTGTTCTGATTTCATCCCCACGGAATCAGCACTTAGAGGTAGTCGCTGTTGAGGACGAGTCTACAGAGGCCGTTTCTATCTGGTCCCTGACCTTGAAGATGTCCTTGACTACATTTCATTGGTGATGAGCCGACTGATGCAAATATATAAAAAATAGAAAAGTATTTGAGCTCTTTGTCCCTCCCCTTGTCATTATGTCTGTACTTTTTTTTTTAAGTTTACATGTCACTCTAACGGAAGTGAGATAAAATCAGCTAATTGAATTCATTCCTTCAGATCTACAGCTGTTGTATTTAATTGATGATAATGACGTTTGTGATGAGTAATAAACCATAATATATTAAATACTGATGGTGTTTTATGTCTGTCTCGGTGGTGGAGGATGGCCTGATGTGACGGCCTCTGTCTGAACATGTGTGTGTGTGTGTGTATGTGACTGTGGATCATGAGACATGTCTCTAAGTCTGGAAACATTTACATGAATTTACAGTGAAATAACCATTGTGTATTTTTAACAAGCAGGAGTCAGCTGCTGCTGCTGCTGATGTTTACACAGGGGTCCTCGCTGGTTTTGCACTTGTTGGTGAGTGCAGTTGCCCCTTTCAATCAGCAGAGGGCGCGAAGTGCCTACAAACTTCTGGCCGGAACTTCCTGTTGGCGAGTTAAAAACCGTTCAACCGACCCCACTACCTAATAAGAGCGTCATAAAATGCCAAACCTCTCTTATGGAACCGGAATTAAATAGATATCTTTCAATAGAAGAAAACCGAATTTAAAAAAAAGATGAATAATGAATACTGATTAAGAAACAGGTAACGTCTCAACCTGTAATAATTTTGCTACTGTTTAAAAAATGTGCTTCTAAAGCAGATAAATTGCACAACTGCAATAAATGGAAATCTCGGGTTCATAATGTTTAAATTGTTGTTAGTTAGAAACCACGGTAATGTCTACTGGTAACTATTCATAGTATTTATTCAGAGGTCGGAAATGCGTCATTATGTTCCAAAATAAAAGTCTTTAATAGCGTCTCTATGAAGGAGAACAGGAACTAAGCCTTTAAAATAAGGGAGCCGTATTTACATTCTTACTTATGGTACATGTTTAGCTGGCGTACAAGGCCCTTTTCTCATTATAAGCTGCGTTCGAGGGTGTGGTTTGTTTATCTTATATGCATATTATATTTGTTTTAATATATGTCGTCTTAATTTATGTTGAAACCGTTCTGTGGCGCAGAAATAAACTGTTTTTCGGCTGTGTGTTTTATTAGATCTCCACTTGGTGTCACTGTATGTGCGTTCCTGAGTCTTAGGCAGAATGTGCTCCCTCTAACCCTGTCCCACAGAGCCACTGAACAGAGACGCTATAGTACAAAAAGAAAGAGATTTTATTCACAGTTTTTCCCTTTATTCAGTACAGAGGAAAGGTGAGGAAGAGTCCAGCCACTGAGGTTGAGACAGCTTATGGAAACAGAAGGTGATTTGTTCATTCGCAGGAAGGAGTGGAGAGAAAGAAATCGAAGACTTGAATGTTTTCTTTCGCCCCTTTTTCTCCTCTCCTTCATTTGCTTTTAAGAGAAAAAGAAAATTCAAAAGTTGCCGTCACTTTAAGGAGGCAACTTCTTTGTCCTCTCGACCTGCCAACACTCTCCCTCCTCTCACCTCGTCTACCCAACAGGACATCTTCAAAATTTGGAATGAAGTCCTTTGTTATTTGTGTACCACTCGGCAGTTCTAAAAGCCCTCCCTCTCAGATACCGAGAGGTGGTCTCATTCATACAAAACACCTCAGAGGCTGAAGTGTGAGGAGACACAGACAAAGAGGTGAGGGGGCAGCAGACTGTTTGCAAGGAAAGGAAAGGTGTTTTGAGAAAGTCTTGTGGATGGAAATGATTTTTTACAAGATTATTTTATTGAAAATCATCCCTATTCCCCATAAGCACACATAGACACCACCATGTGTCACCCACCCACGTGTCCTTGTGACAAGTCTTTGGTTAGAACATGGGCGGCTGAGCACATGGGTTTAACACAGAGGGTTAGCAGGGAGGAAGAGGAGGAGAGAAAAGGACAGGGAAGGCAGAAAAGCAAAGGGATTGCTGTCTTTCTTGTCTTCTGGTGTTCTCTTTACTCCTCCTTCTCCTCTCCGTGTGTGATGACATAGCAGATGTTCTTGTAGTCTACGTTGCCAGCAACATCTGGGGGGAAGGCGGCCCACATGTTCTTAATCTGGGAAGGAAGGAGAAAAAAAATAAAGTTGCAAAATTGACCATGTTGACACAGAAATGGGTCGCTTCGGTAAAGTAAATCTGTAAATTGAAAAAAAAAAAAACCCAAAACAAACAACAACAAATCCGCAGGTTGTTAATTTTTACCTCATCCTTGGAGAACCTGTCGCACTGAGTGGTCAGGAGCTCCTCCAGGCTGGAACAGACAGAGAGGCAAATTAGACTGACTTTCTAACATCAAAATGATCCAAAAGACTCCAGACCAGAGGGTCTAGAAGAAATGTCTCTCTGCAGCTGACGACTAATTTGACACACCAATGAAAACTGAACCTAACAGGTAACAGGAATCTAACTTATTTTTTAAATTATGCACATTAAGTTAGGCTTTGTTATATTTACAACATAAACAATAATTTTAGTTACAATAATAATATACTACTGCTAAAATAATCCAACAATTTTTGAATAATTGGAGCTGCTTAAAAATGTAATCAATTTCGTGAATCTCTTGTTAGAAGTAGAGTTTTGTTTTTTTAAGACAGAAAGAAGGAAACTGAGCTTACAATTGCTTCTTGATGGTTCCAGTACCCTCGGGGTCCAGGACCTTGAAGGCGCTGAGGATAACGTCCTCGGGGTCAGCACCTAAGGAGGGCAGAGGATACAACTCAGAGAAGATGCCAAAAAGGTATCTAACAGGGTCTTTTTTGATCTGATTTAATACTAGGTATGTATGTGCGCCCTCTGGCGGTGTAGTGTAAAACTATCTGTAACAGTGAGGCTCACCCTTCAGCTTCTCGCCGAACATGGTGAGGAAGACGGTGAAGTTGATGGGGCCGCTGGCCTCCTTGATCATGGCTTCCAGCTCCTCATTCTTCACGTTCAGCTGGCCTGTGATTGTGAAAGGATAAACGTCAGCTCCGATTAATACACGAGCGACCAATAAAGTCACACGTCAACGTGGCGTGCCGGTTGGATCGGCTCCAACGGGACTCACCCATTGAGGCCAGAACGTCCCTAAGGTCGTCTTTGCTGATGATACCATCTCTGTTCTGGTCAATGATTGTGAAAGCCTGGAGAAAAGAATGAAAATGTCAGAGTTTATCAGTGACAGCTGGAGGATTCTGGAGAAATGTGTGTGCAATCCAAGACTGGATCAGGCTGTGAGTGGGTGGGTGTCTGTTGGGGCTGCTTAAGGTGACCCCTGGCCCCAAGTCTTTTCTTACAAGTTAATTTAGGAAGGTATCGTTAGGGAACAGCTGTTTGATCTCCTCACCCTCTAATACTTGCGTCCATGAAACTTAAGATAGCCTTTTGGACTTGAACTAAGCCTTCAACCTTTCTCAACACCACCCACAAACACACACACATCCACCCCATGACAGACACCAACACCCACGGCGCTGCTGCTATTTTTCCATCTGTACGACGAGCTAAGATCATCCCAATCATCGAGTCATGCGTTCCCCAAGTGCTACTCAAGACGCCTGTATCGTTT